GCTGTCCTTTCATCACTTCCCAGGAAACTCAACAAACATAACCTGTTGGCCTCAGGTGAAGATACCAACGATGGTCGTTCAGTCTTGGCCACCGGTAGTCCTAACGACTGTAACGACTGTCGTCACAGCAACAAGGAACACTAACGAACCAGCGGTATCGATGACCCGGGCCAACGACCCCACTGAGGTTAAATAGCTGAGTTTCCCTGCCAGTCAGTCAGAACTGAAGAAGTCCTTTGGATGAGGGACAAAACGTCTTCCAGTATCTTCAACCAAGTCCAGTTGGAAGCTTTGCTTCCCTCAATCTTTACCAAGTAACTTCAATAATTTCTTCATCTAAACCATCAACCTGCCTCTTAGACCCCATCCCGACTAGGTTGCTTAAAGATGTTTTACCCTTAGTCAGCACTTCTATACTAGATATGATCAATCTATCTTTATCAACAGGCTATGCACCACAGTACTTTAAAGTGGCTGTAATTAAACCTCTTCTGAAAAAGCCCAAACTTGATCCGGATGTTTTATCAAACTATAGACCTATATCTAACCTTCCATTTCTCTCTAAGGTTCTGGAGAAAGCAGTTGCTAAACAGCTGTGTGACTTTCTACAGAGCAATAGTTTATTTGAGGATTTTCAGTCAGGATTTAGAGCTCATCATAGCACAGAGACAGCACTGGTGAAAATTACTAACGACCTCCTTATTGCATCAGACAAAGGACTTGTCTCTGTACTGGTTTTATTAGATCTTAGTGCTGCATTTGATACCATTGACCATCAGATCCTATTGCAGAGACTGGAACATTTCATTGGCATTAAAGGACCCGCTCTAAGCTGGTTTAAGTCCTATTTATCAGATCGATTTCAGTTTGTACATGTTAACGATGAGTCCTCCATGCACGCCAAAGTTAGTCATGGAGTTCCTCAAGGATCTGTCCTCGGACCAATCCTCTTCATTTATATATGTTTCCTTTAGGCAATATTATCAGGAAACATTCCATAAGCTTTCATTGTTATGCAGATGATACTCAGTTATATCTATCGATCAAACCAGATGAAACTCATCAGTTAGCTAAACTTCAAATGTGCTTTCAGGATGTTAAAACCTGGATGACCTGTAATTTTCTAATGTTAAACTCAGATAAAACTGAAGTTATTGTTCTGGGGCCTAAGCACCTCCGTGACGCATTATCTAAAGATATAGTTTCCCTTGATGGCATCACCCTGGCCTCCAGCACCACTGTGAGGAATCTTGGAGTTATCTTTGATCAGGACATGTCGTTTAAGTCTCACATTAAGCAAATTTCAAGGACCGCCTTTTTTCACTTACGTAATATTGCGAAAATCAGGAACATCCTGTCTAAAAATGATGCAGAAAAACTAGTCCATGCATTTGTTACTTCTAGGCTGGATTACTGCAATTCCTTATTATCAGGCTGCTCCAAAAAGACCATTAAGACTCTTCAGCTGATCCAGAATGCTGCAGCACGTGTTCTGACAGGAACCAGGAAAAGAGATCACATTTCTCCTGTTTTAGCTTCTTTGCATTGGCTTCCAGTAAAATCCAGAATAGAATTTAAAATCATTCTTCTTACCTACAAAGCTCTTAATGGTCAGGCACCATCTTATCTTAAAGAGCTCATAGTACCTTACTACCCCACCAGAGCACTGCGCTCCCAGAATGCAGGGTTACTTGTGGTTCCTAGAGTCTCCAAAAGTAGACTAGGAGCCAGAGCGTTCAGCTATCAAGCTCCTCTCCTGTGGAACCAGGTTCCAGTTTGGGTTCAGGAGGCAGACACCATCTCCACATTTAAGAGTAGGCTTAAGACTTTCCTCTTTAATAAAGCTTATAGTTAGGGCTGGCTCAGGTAGTCCTGAACCATCCCTTAGTTATGCTGCTATAGGCCTAGACTGCTGGGGGATTTCTCTTGGTGGGAACTGTTGGGCTTCTGTAAATATCATCATAGAGTACGGTCTAAACCTGCTCTTTTATGAAAAGCGCTGTGAGATAACTGTTGTTGTGATTTGGCGCTATATAAATAAAACTGAATTGAATCATCCACTGATCCAAGTGGACACGATCCAAAGAACTGAAAAATCAGAACTGAACTTCTGATGGAGGAAGATCTGATTAATGAATCATCACTGAAACAACGAGTGAGCAAAGAGCTGACGGCTGAAACTGAACCTACAGCAGCAGCTGGAGGAGGCTCGCTCAGATCCACCACCTCATCGCCGCCTGCAGGATCCTTCTGCTCCCCCATCTGAGGAGACCACATAGGTCCGGTTTACAATGCGGACCTCGTTTAATTTCTTCTGGTGCATTTGTTTGTTTCTGGGTCACACAGGAACCGCCAGAACCGAACCATCAAAAAATGCTTTCACACTAGAAAGGGGGTGGTGGTGATGGAGCAGTGGATGAGCCACATGCCTCTGGTGTGAGAGACCCGGGTTCAACTCCCACTGTGAGACACCGCTGCTTCAGAGACCTCTGACATGTACAGCCAGTCTGGATAACAGCGTCAGTTACATGAATACATGTGGTTCTGTTTGATCCGGATCAGGTCGCCGTGTTGGATCAGACCTGAATCAAAAACAGTAGAAAAGATCAATAAAGTCTGTTTGAAGGCCGAGGTGGCTCTTTAGCCAGGACCTGAGAGTGTCTGCAGTCCGAGCGGGTCTTATTTCAACAGGTAGAGAACTCCAGAGACCAGGAGCAGTTTAGTCTTTAACCTGGATCTGGGAACATCGAGGGACATCTGATTGGACCACCTCAGTGCTCTGACATGTTAAAGTTCTGATAAACAAGAAGGTGCCGACCCAACATTTTAAAAACAAGCAATAAAACCTTCAAGTCATCCTGCAGCAGACAGGACGCCAGAGGAGCGAGGCTGAAACTTACTTCCAGTTAGAAGTCGAGCTGCTGCGTTCTGGACTAGCTGAACCGAAGGAGACGACTGATCCACTCCAACATGCTGAGTCACAGTGGTCGGATTACTCCTTACAGTTTTTACGTGGCAGGTAGGGCTTGACTTTAGCCAACAGCTGGAAGAAACCGGCTTTTCTAAGATTCCACACAGACTCTTGGTAGATGGACGACTATACGACCCTAAAGAACCAAGAGCATCTACATCCCCAGGTGGACCGAACAGCCTCAGTCTGTCTTCCTCTCAGCCAATTAAACAGGATTTGAAGATCTGCATCATCTGCAAAGCAATGAAAGGAGATATTGTGTTTCCTGAAAACGGACCCCAATGGCAGCATGTACAGTGAAAAAAGCATGGGACCCAATATGGACCCTTGGGGGACCACCAGAAAGAGGGGCAGCAGATTAATTCCTCGAGGTGAACAGAGAAGCTCCCATCAGCCAGATATGATTTGAACCATTTGGGGGCCGTGCCCATAACGCCGACACCCTGCTCCAGTCTGGGACGGGGCTTAGACCCAGACTTGAATTAAAATCATCTAAAAATGATTGGAGTTGATTGAAAACCATGTGACTGAGTCAGGAAGAAGGCCAGGAAGACAGCTGAACCAGACCTGGACCAGACCTGGACCAGACCTGAACCTGCTGCAGGACAAGCTCTCCCAGCTGAGCGTGCCTGACTCCACCTGCAGGTGGATCACTGACTTCCTGACGGACAGGAAGCAGCACGTGAAGCTGGGAAAACATGTCTCTGATTCCAGGACCATCAGCACCGGTTCCCCTCAAGGCTGCACCTCCAGTCACCAGTCTGTCAAGCTCCTGAAGTTTGCGGACGACACCACCCTCATTGGTGGGAGATCGACCATCTGGTGACCCGGTGCAGCCAGAAAATTCTGGAGCTCTGAAGACAGTGGAGATGGTCGTGGACTTCAGGAAGAGCCCAGCCCCACCCTGCCCCATCATCCTGTGGGGCTCCCCCGTCACCACTGTGGACTCCTTCCGCTTCCTGGGCACCATCATCTCCCAGGACCTCAGGTGGGAGCTGAACATCACCTCCCTCACCAAGAAGGCCCAGCAGAGGATGTACTTCCTGCGGCAGCTGAAGAAGTTCAGCCTGCCAAAGACAATGATGGTGCACTTCTACACCGCCATCATTGAGTCCATCCTCACCTCCTCCATCACCATCTGGTACGCTGCTGCCACTGCCAGGGACAAGGGCAGGCTGCAGCGCATCATTCGCTCTGCAGAGAAGGTGATTGGCTGAAATCTTCCTTCTCTTCTGGACCTGTAAGCCTCCAGGACTCTGAGGCGAGCAGGAAAGATTGCAGCTGACTCCTCCCACCCCGGACACAAACTGTTTCAGACTCTCCCCTCTGGCAGGAGGCTGCGGGCCATCATGACCAAAACCTCTCACCACAAAAACAGTTTCTTCCCGTCTGCAGCCTCATTAACAAGCCCCGGGTCCCCCACTGACACTCCACCCTGGCAAATGATACAAATGTCTCTGCACATGTAAATACTGTTTCATCTCGTGTTGGGCACAGACCCGGCACGTCGCACATATTTGTTGTTGATTGTTATGTTGTCAGTTTATATATTTATATGTACACAATATTCTCTTCCGTTGTGTGACTTCTGCACGGCACAGACCCAGAACAATGCACATGTTCTGCAACATTGTTCTTCTATTTCATATTTATATATTTCTACATTTATTTATGTCGACTGTATGTTTGTCTACCTGTAGCACCTCATCACCAAAGCAAATTCCTCGTATGTGTAAAACACTACTTGGCAATAAAGCTCATTCTGATTCTGAACCAGTCCTGAATTAGACCTGGATCAGACCTGAACCAGTCCTGGATTACATCTGAACCAGACCTGAACCAAGCCGCTGTTCCGGAACTCCTTCCCCAGAGATCCAAAATGCTCCCTCTCTGGACACCTTCAAAATCCTCCTAAAACCCAGCTCTTCACAAAGGCTTTCAACCCTGAAGGAAAGCGTCCTTGGGTCCCGTGAAAGGCGCTATAAAAATATAAGTTTTTATTATTGAACCAGGATCGATGACAAACGTCTTTGAGCAGAAACAAACTTTATTTGTTCCAAAAATAGACATTTTCAGCAGAAATATATATTACACTTTAAAAACTCTAAATACTTCACAGAATACTACACAGTACTCAGGCAGTACTACAGTGAAGTCTTTTGATATTTTAATAACAAAAATAAAACCAGCCACCTGTGCCCTGCTGTGGGCGTGGCCTCAGCTCCACCTGTGCCCTGCTGTGGGCATGGCCTCAGCTCCACCTGTGCCCTGCTGTGGGCGTGGCCTCAGCTCCACCTGTGCCCTGCTGTGGGCGTGGCCTCAGCTCCACCTGTTCTACATCATCCACACTGTAAAAAAACTATTAAATATTTCGGTAAATTCACATTATGCAGCCTACACTGTAAAAAATCAAACAAAAAACATTAAGTACACTGCAAAAAAATACCCCCGTGGCGTTACCACGGTAACGTAGCGGGCACGCTAGCAGCTCTGTTTATTTGGCCTTTATTCAGCTGACAGGAAGTGATGTCAGTTCTCACACGTCGAGGCCCTGCCGTGTCAGGAAGTCTTCGAGCGCGCTCAGTCGTTCCACCAGCATCACGTCCAGGTCCGAGTCGTCTTCGCCGCGGCTGCCGCCGTGACAGTGTCGCCGAGCCACCGCCCGTTTCCTGGGCGCCATGGGGACAGGAAGTCCGGCCCCTAAAGACAGATGAAAAAAGTTCAAAAAATTTACATGGGGACATCATGAATATGCAAATTAGCATGTGATGAACTGAACACAACCGCCGTCTCTATCTTTGTGCCCCTCCTTCAGTTAACTACTATTTCCCAGTGTACCTTGCAGCCTCTTCCTCTTCCTGGGCTGAGTGAAGTCAGGGAAGAGGAGGAGCCTGCGCCTCCTCTGCTGGCCAATCAGGAGCAGCGCTCCATCCTTCTCCCTCGGCTCCTCAAAGATCGTCTCCAGGCTCCTGCGTGACGACAGCAAGGCATGCTGGGAGTTCATACTTTGTTTTACTAACTTTCAAACTGCATTGAACACCATTTCGAACATGAGGGATTTGTTTTTAGTTGGTGGTTACCCGTTGGTGGTGTGGGGGATTTGTAGTTTTTACCCGTTGGTGGTGTGGGGGGATTTGTAGTTTTTACCCGTAAGTGGTGTGTGTGTGTGTGGGGGGGGTTGTACTTTTTACCCGTTGGTGGTGTGGGGGGATTTGTAGTTTTTACCCGTTGGTGGTGTGGGGGGATTTGTAGTTTTTACCCGTAAGTGGTGTGGGGGGATTTGTACTTTTTACCCGTTGGTGGTGTGTGTGTGTGGGGGGGGTTGTACTTTTTACCCGTTGGTGGTGTGGGGGGATTTGTACTTTTTACCCGTTGGTGGTGTGTGTGTGTGTGGGGGGGTTGTACTTTTTACCCGTTGGTGGTGTGTGTGTGGGGGGGGTTGTAGTTTTTACCCGTTGGTGGTGTGGGGGGGATTTGTAGTTTTACCCGTTGGTGGTGTGGGGGGATTTGTACTTTTTACCCGTTGGTGGTGTGGGTGTGGGGGGGGGGGTTGTAGTTTTTACCCGTTGGTGGTGTGGGGGGGATTTGTAGTTTTTACCCGTAAGTGGTGTGGGGGGATTTGTAGTTTTTACCCGTTGGTGGTGTGGGGGGATTTGTACTTTTTACCCGTGGTGGTGTGGGGGGATTTGTAGTTTTTACCCGTAAGTGGTGTGGGGGGATTTGTACTTTTTACCCGTAAGTGGTGTGGGGGGTTGTACTTTTTACCCGTTGGTGGTGTGTGTGTGGGGGGGGGGGGTTGTAGTTTTTACCCGTTGGTGGTGTGGGGGGATTTGTAGTTTTACCCGTTGGTGGTGTGGGGGGATTTGTACTTTTACCGTTGGTGGTGTGTGTGTGTGGGGGGGGGGGTTGTAGTTTTTACCCGTTGGTGGTGTGGGGGGGATTTGTAGTTTTTACCCGTAAGTGGTGTGGGGGGATTTGTAGTTTTTACCCGTTGGTGGTGTGGGGGGATTTGTACTTTTTACCCGTTGGTGGTGTGTGTGTGTGTGTGGGGGGGGGGGTTGTACTTTTTACCCGTTGGTGGTGTGTGTGTGTGTGGGGGGGGGGGGTTGTACTTTTACCCGTTGGTGGTGTGTGTGTGTGGGGGGGGGGGTTGTACTTTTTACCCGTTGGTGGTGTGTGTGTGTGGGGGGGGGTTAGTACCCGTTGGTGGTGTGTGTGTGTGGGGGGGGGGTTGTACTTTTTACCCGTTGGTGGTGTGTGTGTGTGTGGGGGGGGGGGGTTGTACTTTTACCCGTTGGTGGTGTGGGGGGGATTTGTAGTTTTACCCGTTGGTGGTGTGGGGATTTGGTGGAGTTTTTTACCCGTAAGTGGTGTGGGGGGATTTGTAGTTTTTACCCGTTGGTGGTGGGGGATTTGTAGTTTTTACCCGTTGGTGGTGGGGGATTTGTAGTTTTTACCTGTTGGTGGTGGGGGATTTGTAGTTTTTACCCGTTGGTGGTGGGGGGGATTTGTAGTTTTACCCGTTGGTGGTGTGGGGGGATTTGTAGTTTTTACCCGTAAGTGGTGTGTGTGTGTGTGTGGGGGGGGGGGTTGTACTTTTTACCCGTTGGTGGTGTGGGGGGGATTTGTAGTTTTTACCCGTTGGTGGTGGGATTTGTAGTTTTTACCCGTTGGTGGTGGGATTTGTAGTTTTTACCTGTTGGTGGTGGGGGATTTGTAGTTTTTACCTGTTGGTGGTGGGGGATTTGTAGTTTTTACCCGTTGGTGGTGTGGGGGGATTTGTAGTTTTTACCCGTTGGTGGTGTGGGGGGTTTTGTAGTTTTTACCCGTAAGTGGTGTGGGGGGATTTGTAGTTTTTACCTGTTGGTGGTGGGGGATTTGTAGTTTTTACCCGTTGGTGGTGGGATTTGTAGTTTTTACCCGTTGGTGGTGGGGGATTTGTAGTTTTTACCGTAAGTGGTGTGTGTGGTGTGTGGGGGGGGGGGGTTGTACTTTTTACCCGTTGGTGGTGTGGGGGGGATTTGTAGTTTTTACCCGTTGGTGGTGGGATTTGTAGTTTTTACCCGTTGGTGGTGGGATTTGTAGTTTTTACCTGTTGGTGGTGGGGGATTTGTAGTTTTTACCTGTTGGTGGTGGGGGATTTGTAGTTTTTACCCGTTGGTGGTGGGATTTGTAGTTTTTACCTGTTGGTGGTGGGGGATTTGTAGTTCTTGTTAGTGTAAATCTCCTCCAGACTGAACTCTTTCTTCTTTAACCTGAAAACAAACAAACAAACAAACAAGTGTGATTCTTTTCATCTTTGATCATTTTCACTAGTTTGATCTCCTCCGTCCCCCCTTTCCTGACCTTTTGACCTTTGGCAGTCCCATCGGTGTGAGCGGCGTTTCCCGTGGCGATGCGCGGCGGATTCGTATCTGAGAGACTCGTTTACCTCGCTGAGAAGAAAAGCAGGAATGCAATGAATTAGATAATAGTAGCAACGAGCATCAGGGAGCGGCGAGCTGCCGGACAGAACGTCTCCTACGTTTGAGACGTTAGTTGACGATAGTTACGTGTTGTAACTCCAGATTCTATGAGTATAGGCTCCGCCCTCTAACGCCATCGCTGTTGGTTAGAGGTGAAGGGGAAGAGTTAACGCATCACTGGCCCAGACCGAACCACCTGCCCAGAGCCACATAATTAACCACCCAGGCCCCCGCAGTCCGCTGTATTTGTGTCGGCATGCTCGCAATTACCAATGACGCCACATGGGGAGGGCTGACCCATGCGTAAAAGGCCAGGGACCGGATAGGGGCCCCGCAGCAGTACAGGTCGCAGCAGTACAGATGCAGATGACGGGGACCGGAGGTCACAACATCGACTGCTCAGCTGCGCACAGAGCAGGGCGAGCGTCCGGATGGGAGAAAGACCCGCACGCTCACAGAGGACCATCGCAGGAGGACGCACGAGCACAGGGAAGACCAGGAGGCCGCCGTGCAGAAGTCGTCCACCGTGCAACGTCACGGAGGAGGAGACGCCTCTCGTGGAGTGCACTCTGATGACACCAGAGATTCAGCGGCTGACACACAGACCTGAGAAGTAGCCTCGCACAGGCGGTGAGACGCTGTAGAATCGTGTAGCGTGAACTCGTCTTAAGGTGCCGACAGTCACACACATCGTCCGGGAGGAGAGTGGAACGCTTGACGAACACACTGAGGAGAGTTCGGCTTCGACATCCATCCAGGTTGTGTGTGTGTTTCTCAGGATTAGGCTGCACCACGTCGCCAAACTCACCTCAACTGCAGAAAGGAGCACGAGAAAGTAGCTCTGCAGAACAGCCCTCTTTCAGGGGTGTTAGCTCGTGACAGAGAGGGACAAATATAAAAAGCTTCGAGTTCACTCATAATTTGATCATATGTTGTTGTATTGGTTCAAATTATTCAAATGTCTGACTTTACTCTATCTGTTTCTGCTTCTCTATCGTATTTAGTCCCCGTTTTTGGCTGCCTGTCTCTGGCTACATACAGAAAAAACTCTGAACAGAAGTAATAGGAATTATTGAAAATAGAAAAAATTTGATAGTCAAACTTGAAATGTCCCCGTTTTCCCCCTTTTCGTGGATTATGTTCCCAGTTTTGATCTCGGACGTCTGGTCACTTTACATATCAGAATATTCTGTTACTCTTGAGCCCACTATGAGTATTAAAATACGGCGAACCACGTATCCTGTGTCATAGCTACATGTAAGACCTTTGCAGCAAAAAACCCCGCGTGAAAATCCGTTCGGTGTTCAGTGAGGTACGATTAATTAAATACGCTGACAGCTCATTGCACCTGCCCAACAGATTACAATGAGTGGAGCGGGTGACCGTTTCAAGATGGCGGCCCCACGGCTCGCCCGCGCCACTAGGCAGTAGCGGCCGATGGGGCGTCTATCTCTATATTATGTCTACAAAGAAATCATTTTACTGCGTAGCCTACGGAATCACAGCAGCAGCACAGAAAGTAAACACTGATTACCAAATCAAACAAAATCTAATCACGTCAGCAAGACCAGGCAGCGCGCTCTGATTCTGAAAGGCTCCCTGTGGGAAGGAAACGGGTCCCAGAGAGTCGTGAAGGAGGTAGCAGGAGCACCAAAAGGACAAATGAAGACGCCGGGCTGAGGACGCAACACAGTCGAGGAGCAGCCGGGACGTGCCGTAGCCGGGGTCAGAGGATTCCCGGCATCAGGCTGCAGGACAGCTTGACAGAGGGCGGAGCCTATCCGAACAGACAGGAAGAAAGGCCTCACCTCTCCGTTTGTGCTGAGGAACTCAGAACCCGCTGCTGATTGGCCAGCGGGGAGCGGAGCAGACAGCCCATTGGCTGGACACGGGGGGAGGGAGAGGGGCCATCGCTGGGGTAAGAGGATGCTCCGGGTGCTGTGATTGGCCCGCTGCTTCTGCTGTCGCCGGGCGGGAAACGTCAGGCTGCAACCAGAAATAATTTAAACTATTAAAAACTTCAAAGTTTTATTAGTAATAAACTAAAACTATGAACGTGATTTATTCAGATTACCTGGACGAAGACGTCCGCACGTAGCTGCAAAGACAAAACGTTTTAATTACAACAATACGACAAACTCAACATGTAAATACCTTACTGTGGCCTGATCAATATTAACGACTCACGATGAATATTAATGTCTCATTAGTGTAACCAGGAGACTAACCAGTGGTCGCTGCTGAGACTGGGCGGGGCCGTCCAGTCCTTCAGGGGCCGCAGAAGACCACCGCAAGCTCCGCCCACAACTGACTCGCACATCATCTCCATGGCAACAGCTGATAGCCTCAGCATGGGGGCGGGGCTAAAGGAGGAGGGGTAGAGCCATAGGTGGACAGCACTGTGATTGGAGGAGAGGGCGGGATGAAGTCAGAGAAACACCATTGGCCTGAAGAGACTCTCAGTGCTTCTGACTGGCCGCAGGTCTGACCACTGTGGGCTGGCTCTAGGAGGGCAATGCATGCTGGGAAGAGGAGGCAGAGACGCTGGAAAGAGAAACACAGAAATGTATGATGTGATACAGTGTTACAGAGGAAACGGGTCACGCTTGGGCGCCGTCACCGCCTTAAACCGAAGGCTATATAACATTTGTTCCTCACCTGTAATGACATCACCTATAGTCCAGTCAGATAGCTGTACCCGGATTCACGTACTGATCTACCTGTATGATTATAACTCACCTGTGCGCCAGCAGCGGCGCTCTGTAACCGTTCTTCTGCCTGATGACACTAACGGCCTTCTCTAATTGGCTGGCTCCGCCCCCCTCTCTTCTTTTGTGTTTCCTGTGGTTAAAGTTGCGTAGAGTGAGTGGCGCCTCCTCCTCTGTTCCTCCTCCTCCCCCGCAGGAGACCGCCATCCGCCCCACAAATCTCCCAGCATCCTCCTCTTCTTCATCTTCTTCTTCTGTGTGTCCTGGAAGAACACGTGTCTCTCTTCCTCTGTGGTTCTTCCTCCTCCTTTTCCTCCCCCTCCACTCCCCCTCCTCCTCCCCTCTGCTCCTCCAACTCTGCTCTGATTGGCTCAAACTAGAGGAGAGAGGAGGCGTGGGTGAGTCCTCGCTGTCTGAAGATGAAGAGGAGGTGGGAACATGTGGGAGGTGGGCGGGGCTGCAGGAGGAGGCAGTCGCACCTGAAGACAACAAAGAGAAAGAGTTTATTTCAGTGTGAGCAAGCGTACGTCAGGACGAGCACGTCAGGACGAGCACGTCAGGACGAGCACGTCAGGACGAGCACGCCAGGACGAGCACGTCAGGACGAGCACGTCAGGACGAGCACGTCAGGACGAGCACGCCCTCCATCAGATCCGTCTACCCGGCGTAACCCGCGAAAGCAAGGCATCGCGGTTCCCAGTACCAGCGAAGCGACTGGGAACCCTATTGTTTTCGTTGTCGTTTATTATTTATTTATTTTTATGCTTCCGTGTATAAACTCATACTGCGGCCTAGACGGAAACTGCTACGGTAGGTCCAGTTCACTGCATCGCGAAAACTGAAAAACCTATTTTCATTAACTCCTCTGAAGCCGCCAAACTTGGCACGGATAATCTCTGGACCAAGCTGATGAAAGTTTGTAGAGGAAATTTTGATCCCACAAAAAATGTCGCAATTATATGCTGGCAAACGTTTGCAAAAAACGCTACTAACAGGAAATGATGTCATATCTTCGCTTTGGAATGGCCGATCGACACCAAATTTGGGCCGTTAATGTGGGACGCCCTCCTGAGGGCCTGTGCAAAATTTGGTGCAACCCGCCCCTAGGGGGCGCTATTTCTTCCAAGAAAATCGTTCCTCTATAACCACAAGTCACACTGACGTGAAACCAGTGCCGAATTGTTCTGCATGGTCCCCTTACTACAGGAACCAAACTTCACCCAAGTATGCCCATAGGTGGCGCTGTTATTGCAGATTAAAGGCGTAAAAAAAAAATCACATTGACTTACACGCATTTTATATCTCCATAACCGCAAGTCCGGTGACACCAAATTTGGGTCAATTCTTCCCCACTGGCCCCTGATCACACCTCACAAAACTGGTACAGTTACGCTTACAGGTGGCGCTAAAATCGAAGTCAATCCCACTCATTCCACTGGCATTTTCAAACGCAGGACATTTCGCCTCCGTTTGGAACGGCCGATCAACACCCAACTTGGGGACCTTATGCGGGGCGCCAGCGGGGCGCCCGGGCCGACTCGCGCGTCCTCCGCGGGGCCGGGCAGCTTGCGTCATTATGCTGGTTAAAGTGAGTAATCAGTGACCGATCATCAGCGCTCTGCAGGTCAGACTGTAGGAGGAGGAGCAGACGAAGGAGGACTCAGACTCACCCGCAGGACCGGACACTCCTCCTCCTCCTCCTCTCTGCCTGCTCCTCTTCTTCCTCCTGCTGCTCCTCTCCAGAGAGTCCAGGCGACGGCCGAGGGAGGCCAGAGCTCCTCGCAGGAGGCGTCGCACCTCCAACCGGTGAGCTGAGAGGAGGCGAGGCAGGAGGGAGGAGCAGGGGCAGCAGGGAGGAGGAGGAGGAGGAAGACCAGGAAGTGAAGAGGAGAGGGGATGCACAGGACCACATATAGCAGAAGGAGGAGAAATGAGAGGTGAAGAGTGGTGATGAAGGAGAGGAGGAGGGGTAGAGGAGGAGGAAGAAGGGAGAGTAGGGAGGTTAGAACAAAGAGGAGGAGAAAGAGAAGGAGCAACAGGAGGAGGAGAAACAGGAAGAGAAGATGAAATGAAAGGAGTAGGAGAGATAGAGGAGCAGAAGGAGGAGTGCAGACTGAACGAGGACACAACAAGGCAGGAGGAAGAGGATGGAGGGACGGAGGAGAAACAGAAGGAGCAGGAGGTGGTGGGGGAAGGAGGGACAGAGGGACAGGAGGAGTGGAGGAAGGAGGAGGAGAAAAGGGAGAGGAGGTTGGAGAAGTACAATGAGTAAGAAAGACAGGAGGAGGAAAAGAGACAGAAGATGGAGGAGGTGGAAGAGGATTGAGGAGGGCCGCAGGAGGTGGAGGAGGAGTGACAGAAGAGGAGGAGCAAGAGGAGGGAGGAGGAGCTAGAGACAGAGCACAGGAGGAAGAGGAGGCACAGGGAGGGGGAGGAGGAGGAGAGGAGGGTGAGGAGGAGGCACAGGGAGGAGGAGGAGGAGGAGGAGGAGGGGGTGAGGAGGCACAGGGAGGGGAAGGGGAGGAGGAGAGGAGGCACAAGGAGGAGGAGGAGGAGAGGGTGAAGAGGAGGCACAGGGAGGAGGAGGAGGAGGAGAGGAGGGTGAGGAGGAGCACAGGGAGGAGGGGGAGGAGGAGGAAGAGAGGAGGAAGAGGGAGGAGGAGGAGGGTGAAGAGGAGGCCCAGGGAGGAGGAGGAGAGGAGACTCCTGAAGGAGGAGAAACAGACAGTCAGTCTCTCTCTCTAACTCTGCATGTAAACATGTGCTCTCTCGCCCAAACCTATCAGACAATAAGCCCTCACCTGTCTGCGTCTCCTCCTCACCAGCCAGTGGGAGGCCAGGGGGTGGGGTCACGGCGGGCAGGCCCCGCCCCCTCTCACTGTCACTCAGGTTCAGCGGTTGAGTGAGCATGGCGAAGACTGAGAGAGAGAGGAAACAGTGTTAAGTACTAAAAACTGTAAAACTTTCATACAGTTACATTTCAAGTTCAAGTGACGCAGCATTAAAGAGCATCTTCCATCTAAAAGGAGGAAAAGCGCCGCAGGTCCGTTTAACGGGACAGCACGGGCTCATCCGGTCGCTTCTCCTCTCGGGACACGTTCACCGTCTTCACTTAAGGTCGCCATCGTAAACTCAACCTGCTCAGACTAACTGCTGCAGTTCAGCTACGATGTCGGTGAGCGGACTCAGAACTAAACTGGAGTTGGTGCGCGTTCACATAGGAGGGGCCGAACACAGGAGGGGCCGAACATAGGAGGGGCCAAACATAGGAGGGGCCAAACATAGGAGGGGCCGAACATAGGAGGGGCCAAACATAGGAGGGGCCAAACATAGGAGGGGCCGAACACAGGAGGGGCCCAACATAGGAGGGGCCGAGCGCGTTCACATAGGAGGGGCCGAACACAGGAGGGGCCGAACATAGGAGGGGCCAAACATAGGAGGGGCCGAACACAGGAGGGGCCCAACATAGGAGGGGCCGAGCGCGTTCACATAGGAGGGGCCGAACACAGGAGGGGCCGAACATAGGAGGGGCCAAACATAGGAGGGGCCGAACATAGGAGGGGCCCAACATAGGAGGGGCCGAGCGCGTTCACATAGGAGGGGCCGAACATAGGAGGGGCCCAACATAGGAGGGGCCGAACATAGGAGGGGCCCAACATAGGAGGGGCCAAACATAGGAGGGGCCGAACACAGGAGGGGCCCAACATAGGAGGGGCCGAGCGCGTTCACATAGGAGGGGCCGAACACAGGAGGGGCCGAACATAGGAGGGGCCAAACATAGGAGGGGCCGAACACAGGAGGGGCCCAACATAGGAGGGGCCGAGCGCGTTCACATAGGAGGGGCCGAACACAGGAGGGGCCGAACATAGGAGGGGCCGAACATAGGAGGGGCCCAACATAGGAGGGGCCGAGCGCGTTCACATAGGAGGGGCCGAACATAGGAGGGGCCCAACATAGGAGGGCCGAACATAGGGCCCAACATAGGAGGGGCCAAACATAGGAGGGGCCGAACGCGTTCACATAGGAGGGGCCGAGCGCGTTCACATAGGAGGGGCCCAACATAGGAGGGGCCCAACACGTTCACATAGGAGGGGCCGAACATAGGAGGGGCCCAACATAGGAGGGGCCGAACATAGGAGGGGCCGAGCGCGCTCACATAGGAGGGGCCGAACATAGGAGGGGCCGAACATAGGAGGGGCCGAACATAGGAGGGGCCGAGCGCGCTCACATAGGAGGGGCCGAGCGCGCTCACATAGGAGGGGCCGAACATAGGAGGGGCCGAGCACGTTCACATAGGAGGGGCCGAACATAGGAGGGGCCCAGCGCGCTCACATAGGATGGGCCGAGCGCGTTCACATAGGAGGGGCCGAACATAGGAGGGGCCGAGCGCGTTCACATAGGAGGGGCCGAACATAGGAGGGGCCGAACATAGGAGGGGCCGAGCGCGTTCACATAGGAGGGGCCGAACATAGGAGGGGCCGAGCGCGCTCACATAGGAGGGGCCGAGCGCGGCGCGTTCACATAGGAGGGGCCGAGCGCGCTCACATAGGAGGGGCCGAGCGCGGCGCGTTCACATAGGAGGGGCCGAGCGCGTTCACATAGGAGGGGCCGAGCGCGCTCCGTGTTTTCTCCTGAGGAATGCACGTCGACAGGACATGAGCGTTAACGCCAAATCTAACAGCGTGGCGGCCGACACGTCGTTGGACCCTTTGGACAGGGCGTATTAACGTTAACGCTCCTCCTGGGCAACGGCGAGTACAGACGGGGCGTATTAACGTTAACGCTCCTCCTGGGTAACGGCGAGTACAGACGGGGCGTATTAACGTTAACGCTCCTCCTCTGTAACGCAGTAACAGATGGTGTGTAGTTCACGTATCCAGGGTAACCTCGAGTTAACCGAACACGAACAAAAGCTGCTCGGAACAGTTTAGAGATGGGGCGTGAGTCCCCATGGCAACAGTCATGAGGATGTTCCTCCTGAACCTACCTGGTAAGGCAGGTACCTGCTACGTTTCTGTTTTACTACCTATTTACGAGAGAACATCAATAATGTCTCCGTCTTCACGTTTCGGACAGTTTGAAACACTTCGGCGGAGCTCTCGCGTCCTCTCGCGAGACTCATCCTGCTGTGCAATCCCAGAAATATTCCAGTAAATCTGAACCGTTTTCACCGTCAGCTGATTAACGGGAGATTTTGACGGTTAATTTCGTCACAGCGGGAATTTGTGTGACGTAACGCGAAGGAAAACTTAAGAGAACGCGGGAACGTTGCGGGATAGAGGAGGATAAAACGGGATTTGGGGAAATAAAGGAAAGTGGTGGAGCTAGCAGCGGCTAGCTGCCGTTAGCAGGCTTTAGGTTGTGTGCAGCTGTTTATCCGGGACATTTCAACGGTTCGTTTTACCTTTTCAAGCCCTGCGGGTCCGTTAGTCTCCGTTAAATCCTCTCATCTTTCATCTCAGGCAGTTTACCGGCTGGGAAATGCCAAATGTGGCCGGTGTTTCAGGAGGAATCTGTGTCTCCGTTATCACCGCAGACCGGCGTCAAGCTAACGGAAGCCGCAACGACGGAACTTCCGGCAGGAACATCAAAATAAAAGAGCCTGAGCGATAAAAGCGGTTTAATAGCTTCCGGAGGGAGAGTTTCAAAGTGAAAGCACACACATTGAACAAAATGGAAATAACACACATAACGGCACAATCTGGACCAGGACCGGGGGGGAACATGAGCCTACCTGTGAAGGTATGATTGGAGCCTGTGAGACCTGGGATCCGTGTCAGTAAAGTGATTGGTCTAGCAGGGGGAGTCCGCTGCGAGGTCCAATCAGAGTGCAGCTCCTCAACTGACCTCTGACCAGTCTGGACTTTGGATCTGCAGATTTTATGTTGGCAGAGTTTCTGCTTGTTTCTGTCTCTGAGGCAGAACGTTTGTCGAACTCTAACAGGGTCAGTTTTGTTGCTGGACTCGTGATGCACGTTTCTCCGTTTCGCCTTCTTCTTCTTCTTCCCCACGCCCTCTTCTTCCTCTTTCCGTACACTCCGGCTCACGGCGGCCATGTTTGGTATTTCCAGGCGAGTACAGCCATTGGTTGAACATGCGGAGCATCATGGAGGAGCTGGTGAGGAGGAACCACTCGGTCACTGTTTTAGTCGCCGATGCGTCGCCATCCGTCAACTACAATAGCAGCCGCGATGCCACCAAGTTCAACTTCCTGGTTTTCAAGGTGCTGTAACGTGACGGTCTGCGAGTTGGACGGTTCTGTACTAACTGAGTTATGTCTTGGTCTCTTCTTCCGGTCCCGATCAGACGGTTCTGGATTAATGTGTCTCCGGTCTCTTCAGGTCCCTTTCTTCAGAACGTTCTGGACTAACATGTCTTTGGTCTCTTTAGGTCCCGTTCAGATGGTTCTGGATTAATGTGTCTCCGGTCTCTTCAGGTCCCTTTCTTCAGAACGTTCTGGACTAACATGTCTTTGGTCTCTTCAGGTCCCGTTCAGACGGTTCTGGATTAATGTGTCTCCGGTCTCTTCAGGTCCCTTTCTTCAGAACGTTCTGGACTAACATGTCTTTGGTCTCTTCAGGTCCCGTTCAGATGGACTTGGATTAACGTGTCTCTGGTCTCTTCAGGTCCCGTTCAGCAGGGCCGACGTTGACGGTCTCACTCAGGACTTCATTAACTTCTCCATGTACGAGTCTCACGTTTCTTCGCCGCTGCAGAAGTTTCTGAAGATGGGTGATTGGATGCGGCGCTCGGTGGACTACGGGATGCGGCAGTGTGACTCCATGTTGAAGAACCAGCAGCTGATGGCGACGCTGCGGGGCGCGGCCTTCGACGCCGTCCTGCTCGACCCCATGGTGATGTGCGCCGACCTGGTGGCCGACGTGCTCGGCCTGCCGTTCGTCGTCTCGCTTCGCTTCTCTTTCGGCGGCGTCATGGAGCGACACTGTGGCCACGCCCCCGCACCACCGTCCTACGTGCCGGCGGCTCCGCTGCCGTACGGCGACCACATGACGTTTGTGGAGAGGCTGACCAGCGCGGTGACGTACGCCTGGCTGTCGGTGGTGACCGAGGTGTTCTGGAGTCTTTCGCTGGATAGCTACTACAGCGAGGTCAAAGGTCAGAGGGGCGGGGGACGGAGGAGGTCACAGCCATCAATAAACACATCTTTTGGTCTCCTCAGTCAGGTGTCTCTATGGAGCCCCAGAAGGGACAAAATCTAAAGTCTGAAAGTCAAAAAGTGAAATTAACATAACATAAAAAGATCTGAAAAATAAACAAAGGAAAGTTTAGTGAAACTAAAAATCCCTTCAGAATAAAAGCATTGTGCTGTTTCCTGTGTGGACAGGAAGTCCCAGCAGCTTCTGCAGGACTCTGGGAAATGCTGATGTCTGGCTCATCAGGACCTTCTGGGATCTGGAGACGCCACGACCGTTCCCGCCCAACTTCAAACACGTGGGCGGTCTGCACTGCAAACCAGCCAATCAGCTTCCAGAGGCATGAGCTCCACTTTCTGCTGCCTGACTGGAAGTTTTATTTTGAAATGATACAATAAGTTGATGATGACGCTAGTGATGATGTAAATATGATGTCATGTCCTGCAGGACCTGGAGGCGTTCGTGCAGAGCTCGGGCGATGCCGGTGTGGTGGTGGTCTCCTTCGGCTCTATGGTAACTAACCTGACAACAGAGCGTGCTGATGTCATCGCCGCTGCCTTCGGACGAATCCCACAAAAGGTCAGAAGCTCCACCCATTCACAGACACATTCAGGGACGTCAGGGAGAACCTGCTGCGTCTGTGATGAGTCACTCAGATTATCAGTACTGCTATGATGTCATAATGATGTCTTGCCGCAGGTTAAACTCGCCAGCAGGAGATGAAGTCATTAAAACGGTCATTAATATAATCCTGTCGCGAAATAAAACGCTGTGCTGATGATCGGCAGACAAACAGGACGTGTCTGCAGGCAGCCTATCAGAGAGCTGCCGGCCCATTAGTGATGTCACTGACACCAGTTTGATCCCACGGTGAAAATTTAACTGAAATCATAAATGCAGTCGTGTACTTTAGTAAAACACCTGAACTTTGGAGGAGGTTCAGGACAGATGTTTAATTTAATTACTAGTTTAATTAATTATTCATCTTTTCTTTATAATCTCCGGGCTGTGAAAGGTTTCAGGGTCTCCATCTATCCTGGCAGCTGGTTTTATTTTGATAAACTAAACTAACTCCTCCACTTCTTAGAGCTGCATCGTCAAACTGTGAAACGTGTAAATCAGCTCGACCTGGGAGAAATAGCCGCTGCTGACAGAACGCGGATGTTGGACTGAATTATGGATTACACTGGTTTCGTATCGGCCTGGTCGAGCGATCGAGACGATAACGGAACGACAAAGCAAAGTTTCTCCTGAACACTTTGATCTGGCAGGAGAATCATTTCACTGTTGACAGGATATTGATCTGGGTCGTTTGCAGGTGATCTGGAGGTACAGCGGAGACACGCCCAGAACTCTGGCAGCCAACACCAAGCTTTCTGATTGGATCCCTCAGAACGACCTGCTGGGTACACACAGTATTTCAAAATAAAAGCCGACAGAGGCCTGTGTTTTTCCTGAGATCAGCATGTTTATCTGAACAGATCTGTGGAATATTTTCACAATAAAAGCCCTGTGTTTCCTCCTTAGGTCACCCAAAGACCCGAGTGTTTGTGACGCACGGCGGCACCAACGGTCTGTACGAGGCCGTGTATCACGCCGTGCCGCTGGTCGGAATTCCGCTCTTTGCCGATCAGCCCGATAATCTCGCCCGTCTGAGCCGCCGCGGCGCCGCCATCGTCCTCGACTTCAACCATCTGACATCCGACGAGCTGACGGAGGCGCTGCACGCCGCCATCAACCAGCCGAGGTGAGGTCACAGGAAGTGTTACTTTGGTATTTTAATATTTCCTGTTTTCTGTGTCGTCGGTTTCAAGTGTTACTTTTTACTTTATCTTTCCTTCCACAATAAAAGCGCCGACTTCCTGCCGAATCATGTCTCAGTCTTGTTGAATTATTTTAATTTCCTGTCTGTCACTCGGCTCCTTCACAATCAACAGGAATTAATCTATTTTTTCCCCATGACGCTCAGCTACAAGTCCAGCATGCAGCATCTGTCGGCGTTGCACCGCGACCAGCCAGTGGCGCCGCTGAGCACCGCCGCCTTCTGGGTGGAGTTTGTGATGAGACACGGAGGAGCGAGACACCTACGGCTGGCGTCACATGAGCTGAACTGGTTCCAGTACCACAGCGTGGACACCGGCGCCGCCCTGCTGGCCGCCATAGCGACCGCTGCCGCCCTCTGCTGGGGGGGCGTCCGCTTCTTCCTGCGACGCTGCAGCCAACGACGGCGGAGAGAGAAGAACGACTGAAGAGACGACAATTGTTTTAAAATTCTAAACCTGCTGAGTTCCTTCAGAAACTTGGTACCGAGAAGACCTGAAGGCAAAGGGGGTCACACCCCAGATCTGATCCAGATTAAGCTTCTGTTCACTCTGTATTTTGATCAATACAATCTCTTATCACGTCTGCCTGAAAGAGCCCGCGCTCACTTTAATCCCGTCTTTGTATGTATTGTGCTCCGTTTAACGAGTCTAATTCACAGATTATCTCCTGGCCTGGTGTCTGAAAACAGTTCGTACTCAGCCTGAAACAAACAGGTCCAGCCGTGTGTGTGTGAGACTTCATCTGATTAAGGGTTATTCTCATGAAATATATTGTGAAACTGAAATCTGTCACATTAAAATCAGCTGACTGTAAGAATCTGAACAAACAAACCAAGTCTGATTTCAGATTTTATTTTTTATTTGTACAAAAACAGAGAAGCTCCACCCCCTCTGTTCAGAAACAGGAAACGAATAAAGTTTTGTTGTTTTAACACTGAGACTGAACACAGATCAGTTTAACCTGCTGCTGATCAATACACAATGAAACTGATCTCCTAGACGTTTGGTCACCATGGTAACAACCAATCAGAAAGATGCAAAAAAAAAAAAAAAAGAAAAAAGATCTGAAACAAAACTTACGTGTCGTCACCAGTAGGCGGCGATCACGAGTACAAACAACTTGAATGTTCGTGTGACGATATATAATGAAATAAGTTACTGAAGCAGAGGTTCCACTCAACAGAAAACTACAAAAAAAACTACAAAATGTTGAAGTCAGGAAGTTTTTAGACATTTAATTTGAAGGATTTACAGGAGAAACTTTCACAATAAAAGCACTGATTAGAGAAAAAACTAAAAGTGTTGCTGTGCGAGCGCTCTGCACTAAAATACTGAAACACAGCTTCCTGTCCTGACTCAAACTGAAGCTCCACAGAGAGGATTCTGGGAAATGAAGTGTGAAGGTTCAGGAGACATTACACTGTAAATGAAGCCTGTGCAGTGATGTCACTTCCCTTTCATGTTTTGATCAAACCTCACCAGATTTTGTATTTTTACAGTTTTTTAAATATTTTATTCACATAACTGATGATGCAGCTGATGATGATGTCATCACGTAGCTCGTTTCATTTTTTATTCATAATTTTCAACAAAAAACAGGAAACAGCCAAAATAAAAGCCTGGACAGGATATGACACGATCACCTGCGGTAGCGCCCCCTCTCTTTGTCCCTCTCTCTCTCCCTGTCTCTGTCCCTCACTCTCTCTCTCTCTCTCTCGCGGCGGGGGCCGCCACGGTCACGTTCACGCTGCCGCTCACGCTCACGCCGGCTGCTCACCACCGCCTGCGTCCGCCGCAGGAAGTCGTCCACACGCATGTCGTAGTCGTGCTGCAGGATGGGGAGAAAAAAAAACACAAAAAAAACAAAAAAACGGAGAGGGGTCAGATAAATAAACACATAATTTATCAATCAGATTATTGACATGGCCACACAGTAGAAACGGTACAATACTACCCCATTGTCAGTAGAGTCAGTAGAATCACAGCAGACGCAATAGAAATACAGTAGAATCACAGCAGACTCACCGGGCTGGAGGTGAAGGCGCGGTGTTGCGGCGCTCGCTGCTTGTCTCTGAAGCGAGGGGGCGGAGCCTCATGTGGCTGCAGGGGGGGGTGGTGGTGGTGATGGTAGGCCTGGTGAGGTGGGGGTGGGGGGTGGCTGTGATGGTAGTAGGGGGGGTGGTGGGGGGGCGGCTGCTCCACACCGGGGTACGCCGCCTGATGACAAGTACATGACATCACATTAGATGAAGGTGGTGAAGCAGTTTTTGGAAGTGACACAGTGAACCACAAGGAGCTCAAACAGGAAGCAACGTGTACGTATCGGCCTACAATACTCAGTCTACAAAACTGTAATATCGCCGTTCCCCAGGGGGCAACGCTGGGCCAGTTCTGTTTAGCTTGTATATTAACACCCTGTCCATTTGTCAACATACAACTGTATGCTGACGACACCGTTCAATGTGTGCATGCGGAAAAACAAACTATTAAAATTAGGTTTCTAATTAGTTAAATAATTCACGCTTACACTTGAATGTACACAAAACTTTATATTTTTGCTGAGGGCTTCTGAATCCCTCCAACCCGATGTTCTTGTTAACAGAGAAAAGACCACAGTGGTGTCTGATTTTAAAGACCTCCATCCTACATTTAAAAAAATATCTACACCACCATTAAATCTGGCCAATTTTCAACACAGACCATATTTAACAACAGAGGCAGCCAAACTCTCTATGCATGATCTTTGCTTATATAACATCGTGTTTCACAAGCTACTCTCAAACACTACAAGTCTGAAAACAGTCCCTGTGAAAACAATAAAAACTCTTGATAACACCTGCCTTGTTTCTAAGATGTAACATGGGTTAGCCCCTCCCCCACTGCGCCAGTTCATAAAGGAGAAGGTTAGCGGTGGTCGGGTAACAAGGGCAGTTAGTAGAGGGGACTGTATTGTACAGTACAGACCCAGTTAGTTTGGACAAACAGAGCCACCACCTACTGTAATAGTTTACCTACTGAACTTTGAGAATCCTATGATGATTTAACTTTCAAACAGAAACTTAAGTCATGGCTTAATGCAAATCACTAACAATCCTACCACCTCTCTTCAGCATTTTACATAATGGTAATGATTTCACATACTTCTGGCACTTTTGCACAAATGCACTTATGCATTATATATTTCTTGCAGTACTTTTATACACTATATTGATGATATTTGGCATTATATTAGTTAGAGCCTGCCCCGGGACCACGGATTAAAATAAGCTATTTAGCGGACCACAATGTTGATTACTGTGCACTGTCCCAGGTAAATAAATAAATTGAATAAATAAAAAAAACTCTTTTGTTCAGTCTGTCAGCAATAACCGGATCGATCAATAAAAGAGAGTCGTACCAGAGTCTGCCAGGGAGCAGGAGGCCCCACGCTGTGGTGGTAATCCCTCATGTAGTCATTGTAGGACTGAAACAGGAAGCACAGGTAAACACACAGGTAAACACCTGCGCACACCTGATCACGTCTCCTCAAACTGCTGTGAAACGGCATGCAGCTGGCGTTTACCTACGGTTTCTCTTGTTCAGTGGGCGTGTCAGAGCGGTTACCCAATCAGCAGTGTGGATATAAACTTGCCCCATTAAAAAAACAACAGGGCGTTCAAGTCTGTTTAAATAAAGGTTTGGCCCTGAACACACCTGTCGCTGAGGCTAACACGCTAACAACACACTGCGATTACAACTAGAGCTAACAGGAAGCTATGCGACCATGCTAACAGGATAAAATGAAAATATGCTAACAGGATAAATGAAGATAAGCGAACATGCTAGTGACTCACCCCGTTGAGGAAAACATCGCGCCTCACACTGGAGAAGCGTCTGAAAGCAAGAACAGTTTGCAATTAATGTTAGAATCATTTTTTGATTAGGTTTTGATAAATAAATCTTTGAGATCTTTTCTTTAACAGTTTCGTATTTAAATTCAGATGTGCAATGAGATTATTCAGTTACAGAAATGTAATGTTTAAACACGTCGGTTTTCTGCAGAAACATGAACTGACTTAATGTTTTTGTTAAAAGTTTTCACACATTCAATTAAACAAAACTCTGTCATGTTTTAATGATTAATGCTGCTGCAGCTCCGCCTACTTCCTGTGACCTGTTTTAGGTAAGTGACGGTGTGCCTCACCTGTCCACCGGCTGGTTCCGCAGGTCCTGGATGAAGCCTGAGAATAAATGAAACTCTTGTGTTAATGTTCCCGGTTTACCGGCGGAGCAGCGACAGATTCCACAGACAGGAAGTCACTCAACAACTGAATCACAGGTTAAAAACTTCCTACATAACATTTCAGGAAAAGAAACTTCAAACACTGATTTGAAAAAACTTAAAGCAGCACTTCTGTGATCACAGGTCAACAGGTATCGAGGTTTTCAGATTAACGACCTGCTCGCTGGTTGAAGTCGGGCGGACCGTCGGCTCGTGGTCGCTTCCTGCCGTGGAGGTCGTACTCTTCAGGGCGACGCCTACGTAGACAAGTAACAGGTAAGACACACACATGCACACGAGGCGCGCGCGCACACACACACACACACACACCCATTACTCAGCATGAACTCAAAACTCAGTCAGGTCCGATTTCAATATAAGAAAAACCTGATGAAGGGACTGACTCATCCAGATGAGATGCGTCTCAGGTGTTCATCTTGCCATCTACTGCTCCAGTTCTACCAATCCTGTCTACCGCTTCTACAGGTCCCTTCCTACCGGTCGTCCTCATGTCTACGGGGTCCTTCCTACCCTTCCTACCAGTCGTCTTCATGTCTACGGGGTCCTCCCTACCGGTCGTCCTCATGTCTACCGGTCTTTTCTACCCTTCCTACCGGTCGTCCTCATGTCTACGGGGTCCTCCCTACCCTTCCTACCGGTCGTCCTCATGTCTACGGGGTCCTCCCTACCCTTCCTACCGGTCGTCCTCATGTCCTCATGTCTACGGGGTCCTCCCTACCCTTCCTACCGGTCGTCCTCATGTCTACGGGGTCCTCCCTACCGGTCGTCCTCATGTCTACGGGGTCCTCCCTACCCTTCCTACCGGTCGTCTTCATGTCTACAGGGTCCTCCCTACCCTTCCTACCGGTCGTCCTCATGTCTACGGGGTCCTCCCTACCGGTCGTCCTCATGTCTACCGGTCTTTTCTACCCTTCCTACCGGTCGTCCTCATGTCTACGGGGTCCTCCCTACCCTTCCTACCGGTCGTCCTCATGTCTACGGGGTCCTCCCTACCGGTCGTCCTCATGTCTACGGGGTCCTCCCTACCGGTCGTCCTCATGTCTACGGGGTCCTCCCTACCCTTCCTACCGGTCGTCCTCATGTCTACGGGGTCCTCCCTACCCTTCCTACCGGTCGTCCTCATGTCTACGGGGTCCTCCCTACCGGTCGTCCTCATGTCTACGGGGTCCTCCCTACCGGTCGTCCTCATGTCTACCGGTCTTTTCTACCCTTCCTACCGGTCGTCCTCATGTCTACAGGGTCCTTCCTACCGGTCGTCCTCATGTCTACCGGTCTTTTCTACCCTTCCTACCGGTCGTCCTCATGTCTACGGGGTCCTCCCTACCGGTCGTCCTCATGTCTACGGGGTCCTCCCTACCGGTCGTCCTCATGTCTACGGGGTCCTCCCTACCGGTCGTCCTCATGTCTACGGGGTCCTCCCTACCGGTCGTCCTCATGTCTACAGGGTCCTCCCTACCGGTCGTCCTCATGTCTACCGGTCTTTTCTACCCTTCCTACCGGTCGTCCTCATGTCTACAGGGTCCTTCCTACCGGTCGTCCTCATGTCTACCGGTCTTTTCTACCCTTCCTACCGGTCGTCCTCATGTCTACAGGGTCCTTCCTACCGGTCGTCCTCATGTCTACAGGGTCCTTCCTACCGGTCGTCCTCATGTCTACCGGTCTTTTCTACCCTTCCTACCGGTCGTCCTCATGTCTACGGGGTCCTCCCTACCGGTCGTCCTCATGTCTACCAGCCCTTTCAATTGGTCAGCCTGCTTTCTAGTGGTTCTTCCTTCTTTTCCTGTTCAAGTTTTCCTGTATGTCAGTCCAGGCTCTGAAGATCCGGGAGTCGTATGTCGGGAAGCCTCTGACACACATCTGTGATTTTGGTCGATACGCATTTAACCAATGACTACCTGTTCTCTAACTAATTTTCCAATCAGTGCTTTCTGTTACAAATAATAGTTCAATGTTCGAAGGCCAAAAACAAAAAACATCAATATGACAAATTTTGCTTCACACACACAATAAAAAAAACAAACAAAGAAGAAGAAGCCTCTGAAAGGGACAACATACCGCTTCTGCTGTATATGTGGGGGGGCTGTTTGTGTCAACAAAACTTTAGATTATAAAAAACAGTTTCTCCCTCATCAGTCCATGTTTAAGCATATTTTAAACCCTCTTATTTTGAAAGGGTGGAGGGGTGGTGATGATGATGATGATGATGGTGCAGTCCTGTCAATCAGTAAACAATGCCTGCCCCTCTCAGCCCGCCCCTTCCAGACCAGCAACAGTCCTTAAAACAGAAACCACCAACTTCCCCATCCCCCCATCTTCCGTTCTGGATTCTCTTATTTTTTTCTTCCTCCCCTCCTCCTCCTCCTCCTCCTCCTCCTACACACTTTTATATTCAGTTCATAGAGAGCGACACACACAACAACAAATAAACAGTTTTTTGTTAACGAGCTCTCAGTCCTTATTCAGTGTGTGTGCGCGCACTGGGGTTGGAGGCGGAGGAGGGCCTTATACAACTGTCCTTTCATGGAGGGGGGAGGAGGAGGGGGCATCATTTTTTCAGTTCATGAGGATTTTTTTGGAAACTGAGTCCATCTTTTCCTTTATGCATCTCTGTAATTTTACCTTACTTGAACAAGCGAGGAACACTCCCAACACACCACACCCTCTCATTGGATATAGTCCTGAGACCACGCCCCCCTCAGACACATCCCAGCCTCTCATTGGATATAGTCCTGAGACCACGCCCCCCTCAGACACATCCCAGCCTCTCATTGGATATAGTCCACCACACTGCACCACCTTCTCAAAGAACCAGAACCAGTCCGCTGGGAACGGTGCCTCACTTTCTCTCTCTCTGTTTTAGTTTAATCTCGCTCGCCCCTCCCTCACCCACCCCCTCATCCATCAGTCCAGCCAGTGACGTTAGTCCTTTCTGCTTTTATTCTGAAAGGGTCAGCCACAGTCCAGCTAAAAGCCAAACTTTTTGAATTTTTAACTTCCGAAGTGCGAAACTCCTGCAAAGAAAAGAGCTTCAAAGGAGAAATTTAGCAACAACAAAATTTAGAAATTTCTCAAATGTCTCAACTAGCACCTACAGAGATTTAAATAAGTATAAAAGAAATCTAAAAAAAATATACAAAAACTTAATTTAAAAAATTAAATTAATAAAAGAAAAATGGATTAAAATGTGCAGCTGCTTAAATTCAATCAGAAAGAATTATGAATTAAAATTAAATGAAGAATGAAACTGAGAATTAATCTTTGTGGCACCAACTGTTAACAAGCATCGCCCCGCTGAGGATTTACATTTCCTGCCTGACTCTTTTTAAGACTTCAACCACAGCCGCAGAGCGAGGCGTCACTCCGGTGGAAACTCCAGAGGAAAACTCCAGACTGGAAAAACCACAACAACCACCAGAGAACCAGCAATGCTAGCCACGGATAGCTAGCCGCCGGCTAAAGGCAGCGGCCGTCTCTGTCGTCCGGCAGCAGGTGGCGCCGTGGTCGCAGCAGGAGAAGAAGAAGAACAGGAAGCGGGAGGAGGAGCTTGGTGATTGGCTAACCTTCCCGGTTCGCGCTGTGGTGGTCGGCCCCTAGGCCGCGGCTCCGACGGCGTCCGACGCTTGTGACGAACGCGGCGAGCCACTTGGTGCATGTCCACACTCTCGTCCAATGGGAACAGGGCACAGAGCTGAGCGCCGATGTCGGGTTGGATCTCCTAAAGGATATTTAACAAAGTTTGAAAAATTATTAAAACATTTCTTGCAACATAGAAACTCAAATTAAAAACAGGACTTGAAGAAAGTAGACTCACCTGTCCATCGCGTCCGATTTTGACGGGCTTGTGTTCATTCCAGGGGTTGGACAGGTGAGCCGTCTTAGTGAAAGGAAGCTCCCTCCTGTAAAAACAACAAGTCCGAGTAAATCAGCCTGCAGGAGAACATTTTACATTATCAGGGTATCCTCAAAGTTAAATTTAGGACCTTTTAACGCCACCTAGGATGAAATTTAATACCAACTTCACTGCCGTATAATGAAAAATCTGAATGAATTTTACTGCCAGAGAAAATTATTTACAAAGTTACTTGAATTTAATAAAACTTTTAATTATAATACATAAATATTTAACACACTGGAGCTTTTTGGGGTGCGTTTGTACTTTTATATGAATCAAGGACGTCACTTTGTGTTGAGTAGAAGGTTACAGCAGTCCTAACGCCGTCGTCTTGTCTCAAGCTGTGTTGGTCAGCACTGCTTCTCAGAGCGGAGCTGCAGGACTCGGCTGAGGATGTTTTGGATGACTCGTACAGTCACGTTTACGGTCCTCGCTTACCTGCAGAGCCAGTCGATCTTGAAGACTCCTCCCAGCATCTTGGCGTTCATGCCGGCAGGAAGAACCCAGTGGATCGGAGATCCTCCATGATGAGACTCTGAGGCCAAACGGGCGAAACCTAAAGACGACCAGACGAAACAAAGGAACCTGATCAACACTCTGAAATGGACAATGTAGACATGCAAAAATATGAATTATTGATCAGTTTTAACCTTGGAATTTCCCGCTCTCCCTCACAGAGAAGACGAGAACGACGCTCCGAGCCGAGCGGAAAGCTGCATTCAGCTTCTTCTCGTTCACCGGCAGCGTCGACCACACGCCCTGAAGGTAACACAAACATCAGTAAGGCGGTCTCTCCCCTTTTCTACGGGACGTGTAAACACCAGTACCTTAGCTTTCGCCAGTGACACGTTCTCGTGGTTGTTGCTCTTGATGAGGAAGAAGCGAGCGTCTCGCAGGATGTAACGCAGTTTACTGGTCGGATCTGAAACAACACAGGAAGTGGCTGCGATTACATCAGAGGGAACATCGGTTCTCCCTTTAGCAGTCAGTGGTTAGTACAGTAATGTGGTACTCGACGCTAGTAGACATCGCAGTACTTACTCTCCATCCCTTTGCGAACTGCTCGGACAGACGATGACAGCTTCTCCCGCTTCTTCTCCGAACCTGTCGGGATCAAGGACAGAATTCAACCCACCGGCTGTTCTCACACACATCTGCTCTACTCTGACAACAGATGCTTTGTTGCCATGGTTACCTGAGGCCTCGGAGGCCGAGCCCGAGTGCACCGACTCGCCGTCGTCAGAGAAACTGACGGAGGAGGCGGAGCGCGAGTCGCCAGCCTCGCTGCGAGTGTCGTAGTCATTTGCCTCGCCGCCGCGGCGCTCATACTCCTCCTCTTCCTCCTCTTCATCTTCCTTCTCTCCTTCCTCCTCCTCCTCCTCCTCTTCCTCCTCCATGCCCTCCTCTTCCTCCTCCTCCTCCTCTTCCTCCTGGTCCTCCTCGTCCTCTTCCTCTACGTGGGAACCGGCAGGGGAGGAGCTTCCAGACCCCGGCTCTGAGCCGTACTCTGCTGCCACCTCCTCCTCTGATTGGTTGTCCTCCCCATGGGGGGAGGGGCTTGCACGCCGCTCGTCACGTCGCAACTTCTGAAGACAAACAGGAAATGAAAATGATTGGATACCCAGCTGAAAGCTGATTGGCTGTCAAGAAAAGTTTCGTACTGTAGGAAGTGGTGGTATCAGTACCTGGCTCAGACCCTCCAGGCCTCTCGGAGACTCTCTGCGTCGTACGTCCTCTCCACCGCGGCTCCTGGTCGCTTCTCGGGCCCCTCGCCGCGCCTTTCGCTCCTCGTAGTATTCATGATGGTAGCTGCTGCCGGTAGCGGCGGTACTGGTGGTGGCGGTGTGGCGGCCACGGGGGCTGGACGCCACCTTCTTAGAAGAGGAGGCGGAGAGGGCTGGTCCCGGGGCTCTTTTATTGCTGGAGGACGACCTGGAGGGGGCGTGGCCTGATGAGGGGCGACGCCTCTTCAGGTCCTGGCTGTCTGAGCGGTCACTCTTCCTCTTTGTTCCTGACAGACAGAGCGGACGGTTTACGTGAGACACACGCCTACAACTGACTTTTATTATTATTTACTGTTATCAGCTGTATCTATCAGCAGTAGTATAAGTCACAGTAGTATCAGTAGTATCAGTAGTATCAGTAGTACAGGTACCCTTCTTGTCGCTGATGTCTCGCTCGGTCTCGGGGTTGTACAGCTCGTCATCCTGGTCTGGAGCTTCGGTCAGAATGTCCTCCAGAACGTTCAGCTCTCCATCTGAAACACACCAGCAACATGAACTAGGCTGTCTGCAGCCATGCTAGCACCTAGCTACATGCTAACATGCTAACAGTCCATCTGAAACACACCAGCAACATGAACCGGTCTGCCTGCAGCCATGCTAGCACCTAGCTACATGCTAACATGCTAACAGTCCATCTGAAACACACCAGCAACATGAACTAGTCTGTCTGCAGCCATGCTAGCACCTAGCTACATGCTAACATGCTAACAGTCCATCTGAAACACACCAGCAACATGAACCAGTCTGTCTGCAGCCATGCTAGCACCTAGCTACATGCTAACATGCTAACAGTCCATCTGAAACACACCAGCAACATGAACTAGTCTGTCTGCAGCCATGCTAGCACCTAGCTACATGCTAACATGCTAACAGTCCATCTGAAACACACCAGCAACATGAACCAGTCTGTCTGCAGCCATGCTAGCACCTAGCTACATGCTAACATGCTAACAGTCCATCTGAAACACACCAGCAACATGAACTAGTCTGCCTGCAGCCATGCTAGCACCTAGCTACATGCTAACATGCTAACAGTCCATCTGAAACACACCAGCAACATGAACTAGTCTGTCTGCAGCCATGCTAGCACCTAGCTACATGCTAACTGTCCATCTGAAACACACCGGCAGCATGATGTGGCAGACTGCGATTGGCTGTATGTCGGAGCGCTTACGGATATAGTTTTAACCGGTCCTCGGATCAACTATTGAGAAAATCTTATTTAACGGCTCTGGGAGAACTTATACAATGAAATACAGCTCTACTTATTAAACGGGACGTGTTAATGTTAGCTATTGATGAAGTTAAGCTAACGGTAGCTAACTTAACGCACTCGGACAAACTACATAGTGCCCAGGTTAAATTTAGGCATCAGATCTGCTCAGGGTCTTCATTAAATATTTTTATTTACTTTGGCAAGAACGTCACACCCGAGTTGACGGCGTGTTCCAGTAACACAATTCAGGACCACTGACTGGAGCAATTATACAATTGCTATATATGTCAGAGGTCGCACGCCTCTGGAGCAACTAGGGGTCAAGTGTCTTGCTCAGGGACACAATGGTGGACGGAACTGCTCCATCACCACCCTCGCCAGTCGTTGTTTACAACTAGCCAGGATAACCACTGTTACCAACGCCGCGCGATAGAAACGCATTGTGCTGTATTTAGGCTCACTAACAGACAGCAGCAACAAGCCCGTAAACGATGCACAAATACGCAGAATGCTAACAAACAGTAAAAGCACGGAGCCGCCATCTTGGATCACCAGGGCGGTTAGACGATAGGGGGCGTCCTGTTGGAAGGTCTTCCCAGTACAACTTGAACGCACCATAGAAGTCCCGGGTACTTTTGGTGTAAACGCGGCTCAGCTGAGGTCTGAGGACGCAGCGCCGTCCTCTGAGGAACAGAGACGGACCAGATGGTGACCAAACATGAGAAGATGGTTAGACAATGCAGAGGAGTCTGTGAGCGACCACTCGGTAAAATCCATCCGTTATTGAACCTACTGAACCTCAGTACAGAAAGTCATGTACCACAACACAACACCCCAGGCTGACCACCGAAATCTGAAATAAAGGTCCTGTGGGTCTGAAGGGGGGCCTTGGTACCTGGTCTGAGTTCTTCTCCCACCACATAACTTAACGGAAGTTAAAGGTTATAAACATCAGACCTACAGCAGTTATTTATTCTTTCCATGAAGTCTTCATCGGTCAGTCCCAGGCCGAACCTATCAGAACACGACGCTGTTTAGAGAAAGGACTGTCCCGTAAACAAACCCTAACGAACAGGCAGCATAAAATGTGTTTTGCAGAAACAGCAGATTTGTGAACGGAGTCTGGCGGCACGCTGATCAGCGGGGAGGCCTCGGCGGCTAGCAGCGGCTAACAAAGGGCTACAGATGAAAGGAAGTCCCGCGGGAGCCGAAGCTGATGGACACCTGGCCGATAACCAGCCCGCACGCGGCGACCGACCTGCCGGTTACCGACACAGGCGTTACTAACCAGCAGCTGGACGAACCGCAGGCTCCGCAGGACAAAGATAGCACACGTGCTAATGCTAACAGCGCAGCCTGCTCGCGCCTCACCTTTGTCCTCGCGCCGGTCCGCCGCCATCACAGTCGCTGTGACGTGCTGCTGTCTCGCGCGCAGGTACCACCGCAGGTACCAGCTGGTTCAGTTTGATTAGAAGAGGGAGAGAAGAAACCCGGAGTGTAAACAGCCCAAATGGCGGACAGAGTGTTGTTAGAGCGTCGTCTTCTTCTTCTTCTTCTGAGGGGCCCGCAGCGGACACGTCATCTACCGCCACCTGGCGCACGGGCTGCGGTACTGCGGCCAGGTGCTCCACCAGTCTGTGGTCCTGCTCCACCAGTCAGTGGTCCTGCTCCACCAGTCAGTGGTCCTGCTCCAGTCTGTGGTCCTGCTCCACCAGTCTGTGGTCCTGCTCCAGTCTGTGGTCCTGCTCCACCAGTCTGTGGTCCCGCTCCAGTCTGTGGTCCCGCTCCACCAGTCTGTGGTCCCGCTCCAGTCAGTGGTCCCGCTCCAGTCTGTGGTCCTGCTCCACCAGTCAGTGGTCCTGCTCCAGTCAGTGGTCCTGCTCCACCAGTCTGTGGTCCTGCTCCAGTCTGTGGTCCTGCTCCACCAGTCTGTGGTCCTGCTCCACCAGTCTGTGGTCCCGCTCCAGTCTGTGGTCCCGCTCCACCAGTCTGTGGTCCCGCTCCAGTCAGTGGTCCCGCTCCAGTCTGTGGTCCTGCTCCACCAGTCTGTGGTCCCGCTCCAGTCAGTGGTCCCGCTCCAGTCTGTGGTCCTGCTCCTCCAGTCTGTGGTCCTGCTCCACCAGTCTGTGGTCCTGCTCCTCCAGTCTGTGGTCCCGCTCCACCAGTCTGTGGTCCTGCTCCAGTCAGTGGTCCTGCTCCACCAGTCTGTGGTCCTGCTCCTCCAGTCTGTGGTCCTGCTCCACCAGTCTGTGGTCCTGCTCCACCAGTCAGTGGTCCTGCTCCAGTCTGTGGTCCTGCTCCACCAGTCAGTGGTCCCGCTCCACCAGTCTGTGGTCCTGCTCCAGTCAGTGGTCCTGCTCCACCAGTCAGTGGTCCCGCTCCTCCAGTCTGTGGTCCCGCTCCACCAGTCTGTGGTCCTGCTCCAGTCAGTGGTCCTGCTCCACCAGTCTGTGGTCCTGCTCCTCCAGTCTGTGGTCCTGCTCCACCAGTCTGTGGTCCTGCTCCAGTCAGTGGTCCTGCTCCACCAGTCAGTGGTCCTGCTCCAGTCTGTGGTCCTGCTCCACCAGTCAGTGGTCCTGCTCCACCAGTCAGTGGTCCTGCTCCAGTCTGTGGTCCTGCTCCAGTCAGTGGTCCCGCTCCAGTCTGTGGTCCTGCTCCACCAGTCAGTGGTCCTGCTCCACCAGTCTGTGGTCCTGCTCCAGTCAGTGGTCCCGCTCCAGTCTGTGGTCCCGCTCCACCAGTCAGTGGTCCTGCCCCACCAGTCAGTGGTCCTGCTCCACCAGTCTGTGGTCCTGCTCCAGTCTGTGGTCCTGCTCCACCAGTCAGTGGTCCTGCTCCTCCAGTCTGTGGTCCTGCTCCACCAGTCTGTGGTCCTGCTCCACCAGTCAGTGGTCCTGCTCCAGTCTGTGGTCCTGCTCCAGTCAGTGGTCCTGCTCCACCAGTCAGTGGTCCTGCTCCAGTCTGTGGTCCTGCTCCACCAGTCAGTGGTCCTGCTCCACCAGTCAGTGGTCCTGCTCCAGTCAGTGGTCCCGCTCCAGTCTGTGGTCCTGCTCCACCAGTGGTCCCGCTCCACCAGTCTGTGGTCCTGCTCCAGTCTGTGGTCCTGCTCCACCAGTGGTCCCGCTCCACCAGTCTGTGGTCCTGCTCCAGTCTGTGGTCCTGCTCCACCAGTCTGTGGTCCTGCTCCAGTCTGTGGTCCTGCTCCACCAGTCAGTGGTCCTGCTCCACCAGTCTGTGGTCCTGCTCCAGTCTGTGGTCCTGCTCCACCAGTCTGTGGTCCTGTTCCACTGAACAGAAGAAGAGCAGAGACTCTTAGAGACATCACAATAATTCATAGTTTAGCATTTTAAACCAATAGTAAAATAAGGACAATTCTTAACAGTATTTCACACATGAAACACTCTAAAATATTTTATTTATTTACCTACAACACTATTTTCCTCTTTTTACACTTTTTTTTCTTTTCATTTGTTATTAGTATTATTTTTTAATATCTAGATTATTATTTGTTTTTTTGAACAGATTACACTTGGAGATGAAATCATTTACAACAACATGTTGGAACATTCGAGGTCTGAGATCATCAGCTTTTGGTTTAAAGAGCAGAAATCCAGATTTTAGAGAGTTAAAAGACTCTGACATCATAGTTTTACAGGAGACATGGTGCAGAGAAGATGTTTCCACTGGTCGTTCTCACAGCTACCATCAACAAAAAAATCCCACAATAACCCAAGGCAGAGATTCAGGAGGCCTGATTATATGGTGTAAATCAGAACTGAGCCAGTCCATCAGTTATTAAGAAAGAAGAAGCTAATATATGGTTGAAAATGAACAAACAGATGATTTGTGCTGAGCAACATGTCTACATGTGTGCCATCTATATACCTCCATCAGAATCCCTCTACTACAACCCAGATACTTTCTCTATTCTTCAGGAGGAAGTTAACCATTATGAAACCATGGGAAATGTATTAATCTGTGGAGACTTGAACGCTCAAACTGGGGAAAGAGCTGACACTATGAACACCCAGGGAGACAAACACTTACCTGGAAGCACCTGCTTCCCCCTCCCTGAATGTCCTGCTAGAAAGAGCTTTGACAAGCTTACTAATACAAGCGGTATGCAGCTTCTACAGCTCTGCCGTACGCTGGGTCTGTACAGGGTCGACGGCGGGCTACGAGGGGACTCTCTGGGTCCGTACAGAGTCGACGGCGGGCTACGAGGGGACTCTCTGGGTCCGTACAGGGTCGACGGCGGGCTACGAGGGGACTCTCTGGGTCTGTACAGGGTCGACGGCGGGCTACGAGGGGACTCTCTGGGTCCGTACAGAGTCGACGGCGGGCTACGAGGGGACTCTCTGGGTCTGGGACAATCATAGAATCTTTCCATACTGAGTTCTGTAAGAACATCCTGCAGGTGCAGAGAAAAACACCAAATAACCTGTGCAGAGCAGAGCTCGGCCAAAAACCCCTTCTACTAAAAATACAGAAAAGATCACTTAAATTTTACAATCACTTACAATCAGTTAACCCCCAGACATATCATCACAAAGCCCTAACATACCAGGAGCTGAAACCAGAGAAGAGTCCCCTCAGCCAGCTGGTCCTGAGGCTCTCTGCAGTAACAAGTCCCCAACAGCCTCAGGACAGCAACACCAACTCAAGCAGACCAAACCAAATTATCAGCAAGCAGAAAGAAAAATATATTGAATACTGAAAAGAAATGACCAAAACACAAAGTAAATCACAATGTTATCTGACCCTAAAAAGAGAATTCACACTGGCAAATTACCTGAGCACAATAAAATGTCCCAAACTAAGAAAAATGTTGACAACATACAGACTGAGTGAACACAGCCTGGCCATAGAAAAGGATCGACACAGACAGAGCTGGCTACCACAAGAGGAGAGACTCTGCTCCCAGTGTGACAGAGGAAAGGTAGAGACAGAGGACAGGTAGAAACTCAGAGGACAGGTAGAGACAGGGGACAGGTATAGACAGAGGACAGGTAGAGACTCAAAGGACAGGTAGAAACTCAGAGGACAGGTAGAGACTCAGAGGACAGGTAGAGACAGGGGACAGGTAGAGACTCAGAGGACAGGTAGAAACTCAGAGGACAGGTAGAGACAGGGGACAGGTAGAGACAGAGGACAGGTAGAGACTCAGAGGACAGGTAGAGACTCAAAGGACAGGTAGAAACTCAGAGGACAGGTAGAGACAGGGGACAGGTAGAGACAGAGGACAGGTAGAAACTCAGAGGACAGGTAGAGACTCAGGGGACAGGTAGAGACTCAGAGGACAGGTAGAAACTCAGAGGACAGGTAGAGACTCAAAGGACAGGTAGAAACTCAGAGGACAGGTAGAGACTCAGAGGACAGGTAGAAACTCAAAGGACAGGTAGAGACTCAGAGGACAGGTAGAGACTCAGGGGACAGGTAGAGACTCAGAGGACAGGTAGAAACTCAGGGGACAGGTAGAGACTCAAAGGACAGGTAGAGACAGAGCTGCACTTTCTAACCTCATGCCCAAAATATAAAACACAAAGACAAAAACACTTTGCAAACATTTCCAAAATATACCCCGAAAACTCCCCTATTTACTGGGAGAAATGCGCAAATATGAAATAATTGCTGCAACATATGTCTCCTCATGCCATGAAGTGAGGACAACCAGTGGAACCTCAGACTGATAAATAATTGTACAGATTTTCAAATTATTATTATTATTTTAATCAATTAATAACTTTTTTTTTCTATTAATACACATAAATTTTTCTAACACAAACACACACAGGCTTTAATTACTTTACGCTTTAATTACTTTACGCTTTAATTACTTGTGTAATGAAATGTATGTGGTTGATTGTTCTTATGTAGTTTGTATGAAGCTTTGGCCATATTGTTGTTTCACATTCATGCCAATAAAGCTAATTTGAATTGAACTGAACAGAGAGAGAGAGAGAGAGAGAGAGAGAGAGAGGGCCGAGAAAGCACAAGACTACCAGAAAGGGGAGAAGTTGTGTTAGTAACATGCAATAATGGGATGAGGTTGCATACAGAGGGAGAGAAAGTAGAGGAGAGAGGAGCTCAGTGCATCATGGGAAATCCCCCGGCAGTCTAGGCCTATAGCAGCATAACTAAGGGATGGTTCAGGACTCACCTGAGCCAGCCCTAACTATAAGCTTTATCAAAGAGGAAAGTCTTAAGCCTACTCTTAAATGTGGAGATGGTGTCTGCCTCCTGAACCCAAACTGGAACCTGGTTCCACAGGAGAGGAGCTTGATAGCTGAACGCTCTGGCTCCTAGTCTACTTTTGGAGACTCTAGGAACCACAAGTAACCCTGCATTCTGGGAGCGCAGTGCTCTGGTGGGGTAGTAAGGTACTATGAGCTCTTTAAGATAAGGTGGTGCCTGACCATTAAGAGCTTTGTAGGTAAGAAGAATGATTTTAAATTATGTTCTGGATTTTACTGGAAGCCAATGCAAAGAAGCTAAAACAGGAGAAATGTGATCTCTTTTCCTGGTTCCTGTCAGAACAAGTGCTGCAGCATTCTGGATCAGCTGAAGAGTCTTAATGGACTTTTTCGAGCAGCCTGATAATAAGGAATTGCAGTAATCCAGCCTAGAAGTAACAAATGCATGGACTAGTTTTTCTGCATCATTTTTAGACAGGATGTTCCTGATTTTCAATATTACGTAGGTGAAAAAAGGCGGTCCTTGAAATTTGCTTAATGTGAGACTTAAACGACATGTCCTGATCAAAGATAACTCCAAGAACTCTTTTCTCTTCCGTTTACCTTTGATTTAAATAATTTGAGTGGTCGGGGGGGCAGACACCATCACTATGGGGTTTTGACTGGGTAACTCCTGAAAGGGAGGAGCAGGTCCTGAAGACACGGGGCCACATATTAATCAGCTTTACTAACATGAATCCAGAAGTTTCCTCCAGGCCCAGCGTCGCTGCTCTTCAGCTAGCGGTCACTAATCAAATCCGGCTCCAGGGAGAGACGAGGTTCAGGACCAGTACTGGAGCTCACTTTAAGTCCTTAGATGAAGAACAACTCTACCATTTAAATGAAGCAGAGGTGT